AATAATAATATTATAAATAACTTAAAAAGTTATGAAAAATGAAAGATTTATTTTTTATCTTTAGAATTAATATAAGAAGCACCAAATTCATCATATTCAGCTTTCTTCATATAACGTTCTTCAAATGATGATAAACTAGCAAACATTTTTCCTCCAATCCAAGCACCATATTTTCTTTTTCTATTACAATCAACATTAATTTGAATAGTAGGAGGGGATAAAACTGTAATTTCTTTAATAAATCGTTGTTTCATTCCAGGGAACATTGAGCTTCCACCACAAAGAACGATGTTATTATACATGTCTTTTCTTAAATCACAATCACATTGCATAATAGAGTTATATGTTATTTCATGAATTCCACTTGTTTCTTTTCCAATAATATTTGGCTCAAATAATACTTCACTACATTTAAATCGTTCACTTCCAATAGAAATTATTTGACCATCTGGAAGTTCATACTTCTTATCTAATTCACTAGACAATGATGCTAGTGTTGATTCTTCTTTGTAGTCAAATGCAACATAACCTAATCTCTCTTTTATTCTTTCAACTTCAATTTTCTCGCTCTCAGTACTAAATATTATTCCTCGTTCAATTAATAATTTTCTTAAATATTCATTAATTTCTTCTCCTGCACACGTTAGTCGGAGAGTGGCATGTTCCATCATATATCCATTATAAATTGGAACAACTTGACACATTCCATATCCACAATCAACAACAACTCCTGTTGTTCTTCCACTAAAATAAAGTTCTAATAAACTCTGCATCATAACATCTAATCCTTTCACACCAAATCCTTCAAACATAATTTGTGCCATTTTTTCTTTATGAATTGGTGGTGTTAATGCTGCTTGAGTTAACATAACAACTTGGTCACTTGATTCTACTTGTAACTCTTCAAAAGCAAAATCCCAAATATCTTCTATATCATTCCAGTCATTGATAATCCCTCGTTGAATTGGTTGTTGTAAATTCAAGTCTTTTGAAAATCGAGCAAAATCTCCTATATTTTCTAGTTTGTTAGTTTCCTTAGAATGTCCTACAACACATGGAAATACAATTTTTGGTAATTCTTCACTTGAGTCTCCTGCCTTTATCAGACCACTTCCATTATCAATTATTATTGTTGGTGTGTTCATAATGATGGGAGATGAATTATGATTTAGAAGTGATTTTTCTATCTCAAGATAAAAACAATAAATTATAGCTTACTAATAGTTTAGAATAGTAAAAGTGAAATGAAAAAGAGAAAATCAAACTGAAAAAGAAGAAAGGTTTTATAATCATGCTTAATGTAAAACAACTTTATCAAACAATCGAGTCAATGATTTCAGTCAATATTGAACAAGTTACAATTTGTACCCAACAAGGAAAAGTATTAACATATGCTGGAAGTGATGAAGTACATGCTGAAGTTATTGCCTCTATGTTTAGTCAACAATTTAATAATGAATCTTCAGTAAGAGAAATTATACTTCATTATGAAAATGGACCAATTTATGTTACCCCATTATCACCATCAGTTTTTCTTGTAATTATAGGTTCAAGAATTGCACATTTAGGATTAATAGTTCAAAAAGCAAAATTAGTGAAAGAAATTATTGGAGATTCATTAGAGCAATTTGTTAAAGAAGGAGAAGAAAGTATCATCAATTAAATTTGTTCATTTTTTTCTTTAAAATTTCATTTAAAAGAACTTATAATTTTAATTAATTATTATTTGATGGAGAAATATAGTAAATGGCGAGATTTTAAGACAGGTATTCATCCATTTATGACACAAAATCAATTTTCTATACAAACACTTTTATTTGGTATTGTTGTTTTTCCTATTAAAGTTATAATGGTAATAGATGCATTAGGAATTTTATATATTTCAGAAATGTTACCAATGAATTCAATAATCCAATTTATCCAAAATTGTTTATTAAGAATAATATTATTTGTTTGTGGGATTTATTCTATTCAAATTACGTTTGTTCTTTTCTTTTATTCTTTTTAAAATACCTAGTAATCTTTATTAAATTTCATTAGAGACAAATCAACAAATAAACGTGTAATTGTTAGTAATCATCAGTCATTTCTTGACATTGTTATTTATCGTTATTTACTTAATGCAGTCTTTGTTTATCCAACTGAAGAAAACATTGAGTCAGAAGATGTTTATGAACTAAATTTATTCCAAGCTATGCGACGTAGTATTTTTAATACTCCATTAACCTTATTCAAAAAAACAAAATTAGAGTTGGTCAAATCAAATCATATTATTTATTTTGTTGAAGGAACAACAGAAAATGGAACAATTGTTTTAAAGTCTCAATTATTACCAATTCAAAATATAAACCCATTAACATTGTCTGGATTGAAATATATTTCTTCTTTTAATACTTTCTATAGTCAAGCAACACCATTCATTAAGTATGTCTTTGGAATTCTTTCTCAAGTTTGTCTTTCTGTTATCATTCAATTTCAATAAATGTCTTTATTCATTATAATAGATACATTGTAAAGTTAATTTAACTCTAGAAACTTACACTGAAATAAATGAAGAAATAATTAGTCATTTCTTTAGAAATACTTTAAAAGTTGCAACTTCTTCATTTAATTCCTATGATAAATCAGAGTTTGTGAAACTGGCATCAAAATAATTCTTATTGACTTACAGATATTTTTATTCATTTTGTATTTACTTTTTTTTTAATTTTATTATTATCATCATATTTCATTGTTTGTATGGTAGTTCCTCTATTTATCTGAGTGTTATTTCATTTTTGTTTCTTTTATTTATTATTTCTTTATTTCTTCTTTGTTTCTTGTTGATTAGAAACCAATTCTCCAATACTTAATGAATTGCTCATTATTTGTATCTTATTGAAGATTATTTCTGTTTATTTCTCATTTTTGTGTTTGTTAGTTAATTTTGTGATATTGTGAGTATTTAAAGGAGATAAAGAAAATTAAAAGTCACAAGTTAGAGGTACCACATGAACCATTATAATAAATCAAATGATTGAACTTACTAGTTA